TAAATAATAAGCATTAAAATCTGTTTATCTAAATTCAACATCTTATTTTATCTTTTACCACTGCAAACATATATAATAATTTTTATAAAACAAGTTATGATTTCTCTATAAAATGTAAGATTTAAAATATATAGACTTTTACCACAAGTAGAGGTTGAATGTCGATGCTATATTCTTTCCCGAACGTGTTGTCTCTTCGAGGTACATATACAACTAGTTGTGTTTTCTCATGAAGCTTATTGGCTATTGCTTCGGGTGTTGTTGTTTTTTAGAAAATAATTATCGTATTAACGTATTCGTGTCATAACGAGCATATTTTTTAGGTGGAGAAGATGATATTTGCTGTGCTGTTATATATATATTTTAATTGATTTTCATATGATAACGAAAATAAAATAATGGGCGTAAGTAATTTGTGTAGGAAGACGATAGTGCCTGGGGACAGCCATCAACCATGCGCAATCGAGCGGTCCTGCCCCTCTCCTTTTGTATTATCTTTTATCCCTCTCTCTTTCTCATTTGTCTCTCCATTCTTTAATGCCTCTCCCTCTTCGCATCTTCTTCGTCGTCGTCGTCTCTTTCCTTTGCCCTCTTCATCTCTCCATTCCAAATTCCTTGGAACGAATAATTTAACTCCACGACAACAGTTTTTCCAGGTAAGCTTTTGAATTTTTCATGGAAAATCAATTTGAATTTTCCAGCACCGTCGTCTCATGTCACCTTCTTGCACAAGTTTTACATCAGCCGCTTGTTTATTTAGTCGTCATTTGCATATTCCAACACTTCATTGGAGATGGAGCTTCTTTCATTTCCCCTGTTTGAGCAAAACCTAGTAGTGTCAGCTTGAGGAATGCTATGGAAATTCTCGACAAAGAGACAAAGTTGACAGACTCCATTTTCACTTTCAATGAGACAAGGACTCTGCAAGTGCTTCATTCTTCTTCTTTTTTCTCTTTATAGTTTATTATCTCTTACTCCTTGTCAGGCTTTGATCCGATCAAACAGAAGTTTTTTCTCGTTTTGTTTGTTTTTGAAACAAGGCGTGCTTAATTGTTATAGCTAGCTGGCGTCGTCTACCTTTTTCCTGTCTCCCATTCTTCAACTTACTATACGTCGCAGAGCAGTTTAATTTCTTTGATTAGTTATTTACATATTATTTGAAAGAAAAAAGTAATTTTTTGTTTAGTAATTGTTAAAAGTTTAGTGATGGAAACCCCGTTCTAGAAGTTATCATTTCCACCATTCACCCAACACTAGACAGCATCATTAGCTCAAACCTCTACCTGTCACAACTGGCCCTTCGATTTGTGCTTACAATATCATTTTCTTCAACCTTTTTTCCTTCTCTAAGTTTTTATTGGTTATGATTTAGAGATGATGAAGTTATAAAAGAGTGGTGAATTTGATGCAGAAACAACAGTTATGATGGAGTCAAGTGTCCCACCAGGATTCCGGTTCCACCCCACTGACGAAGAGCTTGTTGGCTATTACCTGAGGAAGAAGGTCGCTTCACAAAAGATCGATCTCGATGTTATTAGAGACATCGATCTCTATAGGATCGAACCCTGGGATCTTCAAGGTTCTTTTCCGTTTCTTTTATTCAGATTTTTAAGACCGACCCACACCTAGGGATTATGGTTTACCATTTGGCATTTGCACCGGAATCTAATAACCCTAGATTTGGATGCACATGTTTAATTAACCCTAAACTTTATATATACAAGTGCAGATAGATGCCGGATCGGATATGAGGAGGAAAAGGGGTGGTATTTCTTCAGCCACAAGGATAAGAAGTATCCGACGGGGTCAAGGACCAACCGAGCAACCATGGCTGGTTTCTGGAAAGCAACGGGGCGGGACAAGGCGGTGTACGATAATAAATCGAAGCTCATCGGCATGAGGAAGACTCTCGTTTTCTACAAAGGAAGAGCTCCGAATGGGAAGAAAACTGACTGGATCATGCATGAATACAGGCTTGAATCCGACGACAATGCACCTCATCAGGTAAGCACATATGATTTTACTTCACTTTTTTTCCTTGATTATCAGTTTATCACTTTCTACATTGTCGTACCTCTCTTTTTGAGCAATAGTTATTGATTAAAGTGAGAAAGGTATTCGTATTATCATGGTCATCCAACATTCTGAGTAGTTTTAAACAGGCTCTTAAATTTCTTGGCCTAATATTTCAAATCATAATTTTATTTACGTATTATATCATTCGATCCTCTAAAAATATATGAATTTATACACTATCAATATCATCGAATATAAATCCATGTAGCTGAAGTCGAATATGCCCCCACTCCACTAATAGAATTTATATGAACCAGTCCTTTTTGGTATCCATAGAAAGACCATTTATACTGATATGCAACATAAATGTATAGAAAGAAGGCTTCCACCCAAAAGAAAAAGTCAAAAAAGTTATTAGTACTAATATCATGAGCTTTCAGTTTTCATTTCAATTTCATTTAGCTTTTTAAGTTTTTGCAGGAGGAAGGATGGGTGGTTTGTCGAGCTTTAAGAAAAGAATCACCGGTGGACAAGCCAAGAGCATCGGTGGCGGGTGGGACTCGATCTACTTGTACGATGAACCAAGTGGTCTGAGCTCGATGGTTGATCCAATGGAATACATGTCGAAGCAACCCCCGAGTTTTTCACCTTTGTGCAAGCAAGAGACGACAGAGGCAGATAATTTGAACAACTTTGTTTACTCTGATCAGTTTATAGAACTTCCTCAGCTAGAGAGTCCTTCACTTCCATTAATGAATAAGCCAAGCTCGATACCTATCGTATCAGAGAATAATAATAACTATGAAGAAGAAGACGATTATCAGAAAAGAATGTGCAACAACACCACCACCAAGAAAATGACTGATTGGAGAACCCTTGATAAGTTTGTTGCTTCACAACTGAGTCATGAAGATAGATATAATCAACAAGGAGCTGCCTCAATCTCAAGCTTTGATGCTAATAATTGTTGTAACTAGGACATGGCGTTGCTGTTGTTGCAAAGCAGTAGAGAAGAAGGGAACAAGTTGAACAGATTGTGATATTGGAATATGCATATTTGATAAATGAAAGGAGACGATCGATGAAGAAAGCTTCTATCGCTTAGTATTAATTATAAATATTTGATGCATAATGAGACATTTTTGTAAAAAAGAAAAATATGGTTGTGAAATGAATGAAGAAATTCTCTCTAATGGAAACCAGTCATTTTACTCATCTTTAACTTGATTTTCTTGGCAACCAAACATAGTATAAACTAGCTAGGAAAAACATAGAATGAGTGGCTGGTCGGTCGAATCTGGATGTAGTCTTAGTGGGACCATGGTTCGTCTAGCATGCGCTAGGCAACGTGGCTCCTATCGGTGCATGCCTTGGAAGTTTTGTTTTCCTTTGACCATATGTTCATGGCTAGCTAGCCTTTTCCATCCCCATGTCCTCTTAGTGCCACACAGCAATAAAACCAGAACCCACAAACAAGAACAACTAATACATTAGTTTTCTTAAAATAAATACTTTCTTCATTATAAATTAAGAGATAATTAAGTACTTTTTCAGTTTAATCAGCAATTAGTGTAACGGTTGACCAAAAACAAGGCATACTTTTTCGGAGAACAATGATGCTTAATCATAGCACACTAATAAAGCAAAACCAGGCCCCATGTTTGATGAACTTTTTACATGCAGAAGATAAGGTGGAAACATACGTTGATGAAGAGAATAAAGAGAATTTTAAGCTCTGACCAATCACAAACTTTGAAATTTCAACGTGAAAATAAAATAAAAAGACAGAACAGGTTCTGTACAATAACGAATGTATCTGAAATTATTAGGGAAACTTTGGAGGCATGGCCAAGATAGTAATCGGAGTTGAAGCTATGGTGATCTCATCGACTTTTCATCATGCGAAATAGAGGAAGGCATGGCTTCGTCCCTTGGCTGGTCATTAAAATCATGAAAGCAATGGCTATCTCTTTTTCCCATATATATGGGGTAGGGAGAGGTAAGATAGTAGGCTACTCCCAACACCAAGTTGAGAGCAACTTCCGTAAGAGACCTCCGAAATCAATATTAATCATGTTTGTTGATCGTCACAGACATTGGTTTGTCAACCGATTTGTATGGACAAATCTTTTTGATCCTTTGATTTCTTTTAATTTCTCGGATGATGAAATACATTGGTTCATAATTTTTTTCTGGAAAATGCATTTCTTATATTGATACCATTTATATCAAAATTATAAATTAATTATTTTTAAGAACTAATTTATTTAATTTTAAAATTAAAATAATAGTTTTGTCTGATAATAATAATAATTCATAGAAATTATTCCTTTTCGGGGGACTTGTCCCATTAACCAATTTATATACAAGTAGAAAATTATGAAGAAACATTGTTGGAAAGATGACTATAAATCCCGAAGAAGAACCGTTGTAGATCCTCTGTTTCTTCTTATTTTTGTCATTTTTGAGCTTGCAGCAATGGGAACCCTGGAATCCGCTCTCTCAGCAAATTTATTTAGTGTTTGATTGCAATTGGGGGAGAATTCTGTGTGATGAATGGCATAGCTGGTAAGATCACAGCATTTCCTACACTCATCAATGTTATTTCAATAAACTTCACTTGGCTGAATTGAGCTTTTTATTTTCAAAATTGAAGCTCAAAAGACAGACATGAGCGTAGAGAAACTGGTAAACCAGGTTAACCTAGGAAGTGATATCAGAGTAATGCTATTAGATTGTATGGAATTTGAACAACATACATCTGTTTCTGTTTAAATTCTATAAGGAGAGCCAATTCCAGTTCACTTCCCATTACATTTGCATGTAATTTTTGCATTCTTGTGGAGTATGAGGAGCTAGGGTGAGACACTGAGACTTAAAGAAGTTTATCAGAAGCTTTGGCAATTGAACTCTACCAAAGCCTTAACAGCTTCACAACATATATCAGAAGGCAATCCAATCTTAAAATATAGTTCAGTACATGGTTAAACATTTTTGTAGAATCTGATTAAAAATTTCAATTAACTACATCTTGTATAATTCAAGTAGTTCATACATTGCAAGTGGAGGATGGGCAACTTAAAAGGAAGGCTAACTGAGGCCCTCGTACCAAGGCAAATTAATTGCAAAATCAAATAAACAAATTAAACATCAAATAAACTCAACTGTATGAATGCAGGTAGGAAATTTGGGAATGCTCTTAAGGCTGTTGTTGGGCGTCCATGTAACCTGCATCAACCAACACTTTCTCCCTTTTAGCCAACTCAATATCTTCATCAACCATCATCTTCACCAATTGCTCGAATCCAACTTTGGGTTTCCACCCAAGAACCTTTCTTGCTTTACTTGAATCACCTTTCAAATTATCCACCTCGGCTGGCCTAAAATACCTCTTATCAATCACCACATGGTCTTTCCAGTTCAGCTGAACATACCCAAACGCCGCTTCTAAAAACTCCTCCACCGTGTGCGACTCCTCGGTCGCCACCACATAATCATTCGGCTTCTCTTGTTGCAGCATCATCCACATAGCTTCCACGTAATCCCCAGCAAAACCCCAATCCCTAGAAGCTTGCAGATTCCCCAAAAACAACTTGCTTTGCAACCCAATCTTGATCCTGCCAACGGCCCGAGTAATTTTACGGGTCACGAAATTCTCTCCTCTCCTCGGCGACTCGTGATTGAACAGAATTCCATTACAGGCGAAAATCCCGTACGCTTCCCTATAATTGACTGTGTACCAATGCGCAGCGCATTTCGAAGCCGCGTATGGAGATCTGGGGTGAAACGGGGAATCTTCGGATTGTGGCGGAGGAGTAGATCCGAACATTTCCGAAGATCCGGCTTGGTAATACCTGATATGGCTCCGACCCGTGTCGGCGATATGCGATCGAACGGCTTCCAACAAACGGAGGGCCCCAGTAGCCACCACGTCAGCGGTGTAATCAGGGATTTCAAAAGAGACGGCGACGTGGGATTGAGCAGCCAGGTTGTAGACCTCGTCGGGTCGGATCGTGTCGATCCAACGACGAAGCGAGGAAGCGTCGGAGAGGTCAGCATAATGGAGCTTCATCCGAGCCTTGTGGGCGTTATGGGGGTCGATGTAGATGTGGTTTATACGCTGCGTATTGAAGTTGGAAGAGCGGCGGATCAAGCCATGGACTTCGTAGCCTTTGCCGAGAAGGAACTCAGTCAAGTACGAACCGTCTTGACCGGTGATGCCGGTGATTAACGCAATCTTGCGGTCGGGAGGTGCCTCGCCTCTGATGGTGGAGGATCCGGTTTTGGATCCGACACTGGAACTGTCATTTTGGCTTTCCATTTTGGGGTTCATAAAAGTCTGACGCTGCGTCTGGATTTTGAGAGGAAGAAAGACACGGTTTCGGTGATTTCAGCGATTAGTGCAGTGGTTTTGTTATTAGGGAGAAAGGGTACAATGGTCAATTTCTGTCCTATGAACTTACGATTTTGTCCTTTCCTTTGCGAGTGCCAGTTAAAATGAGATAAACCAGTTTTCATCACATTAAAAAGATAGTTATATCAATATCGGTTGGTTTGTTCATTTTTTATGTTCTTATACATTAAATTTAGATTTATTAAGAATATTTCCTCTTTATCTTTTTCCCTCTCCTTCACCGACTTAGACTTTTCATCAACGAGGGAATTGCAGTGCATATGAAATCACTCGGCCAGAAAAGGCAAAAGTAATGCCATTCACCTGAAACACAACTCCAATGGTCAGCTTCAGCTATACATCTGTCAAAACAGGCCAACCCCTTCTAATAATTCCATTGATCTTTGCATCGATCTGCTTTTGAATCCTTTGGGGGCAAAGCTCAGCCGCGAATCCATTCAGTTTTGCTGCCGTAGTAGACATCTCAAGCTCCTCTCCGGGCAGGTTTCCCATCAGCTGTAGAAGCAATGGATGGCGTTTGAGCTCGAATTTCTGCACACGTCACTCCTTTGACCTGATCTATCAATAGGCAATAGCACATCTGTAAACGATGAAGCATACGTTTTCCATCATTCATATTCAAATACACAATGGAAGTCTGGTAACTACACTAGTTGCTAATTTGAAATGGGAGAGCATTAAACCTATTGATAGTTTTATGCACATTAGTTCTCAGAACCCTACATAATTAAATTAATTTAACCCTTCAATCAAATGGTGACACATGACATCATTTGATTGAAGGGCTAAATTTATTTTATTTATTAAACCTAAGATTAAATTGTTAAAATATATAAGTAGCAGGGACCAAATATGTAACTATACCAAAATATTAAATGTCACATCACCTTATTCATTAACTGCTAACGACAAGTGACTTAATTGATAACAATTAAATAGTTAGGTGGTCTGCTTGACAAACTTGAAAGATCGATAGTATAGTTTACCCAATAATTTTTTATAATTATATACAATACATATACATTTATTCATATTTTCTTCATTTTTTATACGTGACATACATATATCATACATAGCTGAGAGACTCGACGTAAACTTGACAATCAATCCAATAATTACTAAAAAATTCAAGTTACTATTCTAGTTGTATTTTACAACTCGATTTAAACTTCAAATATTTTCGAGTCGAGTCACGTTTATGAAATTACAACTTGAAGTTAATTCGAGTGAAGTTTTCTTGAATCAAGTCGAAAAAATAAATTTTGAGTCGAGTCGAAAATATTAATTTTTCGAGTGGAATTTTGCTCAGACTTACACCGAAGAATAACAAACCAATTTCTTACTCTCTGCCTTCACCACCACCGACTAAAATCAGTCATATAGGAAAAGTAATAAGAAACGCCAGTAAGAACAAGTATCAGAAACATACATGAGACTAAATACCGATTGAAAGCGTATCCATCCCTCAAACAACTCCAAACAATACCATTATCAGAAATTGCAAACAAAATTTCCAGCATAAATGTGCTCAATACACTTGAATGTAATAAATGCCAAAAAACAAACATAAGTAAAATGCCACGAGGCTTAAGCCTTATCGGCCTTGGCGGCAGTAGCGGCCGCTTGTCCTCTGAGCCTACCAGTCCTCCTTGCAGCAATAAGACCAACCTTCTGTCCGGGATGTGCATCACGCCTAACCGTACTAGCATGACCAATGTGTTGATGGTTACCACCTCCATGAGGATGCTCCACGGGGTTCATAGCCACACCACGCACCTTAGGCCAGCAGTTCCTCTTCACTCTACACTTATGGTAAGCATTGCCAGCCTTAAGTAGAGGTTTCTCAGTTCTACCACCCCCTGCAACCTGCCCAATCATGGCTCGGCAGCCACTCGGAACAATCTTCTTGGCACCTGATGGGAGCTTGATCCTGTAATGATTTTATTCCAAAATGCCATTAAGGTAACAACTAACAGCTCCAAACTTTTCACAAAAATCAATCGTTGTCCACTTTAAACAAGGACTATCATGGGTCCATGTATAGGATATTGAAATCAGAATCCTTCTGCTTAACAAACTATGTCTAGGTGTACATTTAAGCACATACATGGACAGAAAACCGAGCAAAATACAAGGCTAAACAAAATCAATAAACTATCAATAATGTGTTCGTATCACAATCAGATATTCGTAAACCCATATCAAGATTCAAATCAAAACAGAGGAAGAGATATAAGATATATATCATTTGTTGTCCAAAATATATCAAATGGTGGCCTTGGCTCAATGGTTTGGCTTGCATTATTTCACTCAAGAGTCCTGTGTCAAAATCCCCCAACTTGTGTGTTTGTTGCTTTATTAAAAATAAATCAAAATAAATTTAGTCTTCCAATCAAATGATGACATGTGCTAGTTGACAGATGTGTAAACAATGACACATGACACCTCTTGATTCGTAGGTAAATTTATTTTAATTTATTAAAATTATGAACAAATTGAAAGAATATATAAATAACATAGACTATTTGTGTAATTATATAATCCAGGTAAGCATGTTGATGGCTGTTATCGGTCCACGTGTGTTTTCCGTCAAGCCTGCTAACGGTGAGTGACCAATTTGTAACAAACGATAACGTTAGTGATCAATTTGTGACTTTTGAAACATCAATGGTAAAAAACATTTAACCAAACATTAGTGACCATTTGAGTAGTTTACCCAAACTTAAAATGAATTATATTTAGGGTAAAGTATAGTAATGGTCACTGAACATTTCTGAAGCTTGCATTTAGGTCCCCTAACATTTAAAACTTGCAATACAGTCCCCCCAACATTTATTCCGTTTGCAATATGGTCCCCCAACTTAAACCACAGTTAGAAAATTAGGATAAATTATATAAACGGTCATTGAACTTTTCAGTCACTTGAATTTAGGTCCCCCAACTTTTAAAACTTGCAAAACAGTCATCAATTTCATTCTAAACCCCAATTTCCAAAGTAATTCAATTTTATTCTAAACCATAAATTCTAAAATACTTCAATTAAATTCTAAAATACTTCAATTTAAGGTAATATAGGCTTGAAGAAAGAGTTCAAGGCACATACACAACGAATAAAAATATATTTATATAAATGTATATTTATATTTAGATGTATAAATAAAAAAATATATTCTTATATTAATGTATGAATCATTTATATTTTTTGAATATTTTATTTTTAATAAGAAATTAAAATTATTAATTATATTAGAAATACTCAACTTAAGATTATATAATCATGAATTATAAATATGAAAAATATAATTATTAATTTTAGTTTAAAAATATATAAATCTTAAATTTATTCTTTTAAAATATTGTATCAACTAATATTTAAAAAATATATTAAATCTATCAAACAATTTATCAAATATAATTTTTTATTGTAAAAAATATAATATTTTCCATCATTTATTGCTTTCAAATTTTTTGCCGAAGTTCAAATCTCATTATTTCCATTTTACATTATTCTTTTTTTCTGGCATTGGTCATACTATTAGTATATGTATTATTGTATATCTCTTAACACAAACGATGGTGTTAGCTTAGTAACTCCACCCTGTATCTTTCATTTGCGTGACTCAGGTTTGAGTTTGCCCAAGACCCAAATTTTACTTCTTTGTAACTTAATTTTCTTCTAATTAGGAGGTGACATGTGTCACCAATAACACATATCATGATCATGTGTTAACACATGTCAGATCCTGATTAAATGATTAATTTATTAAATTTTATTTAATTTAGGACCAAATTGATAGCATATATAAATAATTAGGTGGTAACACGTGTCACCAATGACACGTGTCATGATCATGTGCTAACACATGTCAGATCCTAATTAAAATGATTAATTTATTAAATTTTATTTAATTTAGGAACAAATTGATTATATAAATAATAAAGACTGAAAGTATAATAATGCCAATTCCTTTTAACTGCCACATCATCATTTTTATCAATTGGTAACGACTAGTGGCTTAGTTGAAACAGTTAAATAATTATGTGGTATGATTGTTAAATTTAAAAGATCGATGACAAAAGTAAAAAGGGCTAGATAGTTAAGTTGTCAACCGAGTAGTTTACACTTTTATTTATACGTCAAAATAACATTTTATAAATTTAAAATTCGAATTATTTTCAACATCTTCTATATCCTAACTACTTTTTTTAATTAAAAAATTTCTTCAACAGATAAGAATTATACTATTATATTTATATAAAAAAATATGTATCACATGAAATAAGATAAAATTAAATAATAATAAATTTGACATAATTGAATTTAATTTAAGTATTTTGGAATTTAGGGTTTAGAATAAAATTGAATTACTTTGGAAATTGGGGTTTAGAATGAAATTGATAACTGTTTTGCAAGTTTTAAAAGTTAGGGGACCTAAATTCAAGTGACTGAAAAGTTCAATGACCATTTATATAATTTATCCTAATTTTCTAACTGTGGTTTAAGTTGGGGACCATATTGCAAACGGAATAAATGTTGGGGGATTGTATTGCAAGTTTTAAATGTTGGGGGACCTAAATGCAATCTTCAGAAATGTTCAGTGACCATTACTATACTTTACCCTTATATTTATATCAAACATTATTTCATGAAAATCGTCGAAACTCAAGGAAGAACTTAAACAACAGTAAAACAACAAGGTTTTGATTTTTTTTTTCGTTTTTGAACTTGTTTTCTGTTGGTGTCCGATTTTCAAATAACATTCGATTCAACCCACCCACATCCCGAATCTCTCACCGTCTCTTCCCCTGAATCGACTCAGGACAACCCCAATGAACTATCCCGAGCGAGTCAAAACGGACGATACGTTTCTCCGGCAGTACCAGCCCTCCGAACTCAGAATAGCATCCGAGTTCTTGACCACATGGCTCCCTTTCCTTTCAAGAGATCTCTGCCATCGATGCACTCGAAAACTCTCCCAACTAATCCGTTCTCTCGACCCAGGTACTCTCCCTTTTGGAATTGTTGATGAAAATTCAGTTTCCATGGCACGCCATATTTCAGTTCAAAGTAGTTTTTCCCTTTAAAAAATTATTGATTTCTATATGCTTGTCATTGTTCTTCTTTCGGTGATACAAATATCTATTTTTGGCTGAAATTAGCGGTTTGTGTTTAGATCGTGGAAAAAAAGATGTTATTTTTGCTAGTTGTCATTTATATTTGGGATTAAAGTAAAGAACTAGAAACAGGAATTCTGCATTGATTTTCTTTGTTGTACTTTACCTTAAATTCTGTGTAGACATATGTGGAAGAATTTTACTGTTTGTGTTTTGCTAATAAGACGATGGATTTTGTTGCCCTTTTAGTTATTGCTTATTACAACGTTTATAGTAATGATCTTTCAAATAATGGACATGGTTTCTAATGCATTCTATGAAGATATTATTTTCTGTAGTTACATTGTTCTTAGTATACGAAGTGTTTTAATTTGGAATTGTAGAACTTGAAGGAGGTGAAAAGCTGACACAGATTCAAACGCGTGCCCTTCTAGTCCCAGAAATACTTTGTATGGGAATTATCTTAATAATTATGATGCAAATTCGGTTAGAAGTTCAAAAGATGAAGAAGATACAAACTCATTGGGTAGTTGGAAGTTTGAGGCAAATGGGTCTCAAGAACCTGTTGGAGAAGCTTCCACTAGAGGTGGGGTTGCCAGTAGGTCGCCTTTGGTTAGAACTCGGGCTCCCCGTCAATCATGGGCAGACATGGAACAGGAAGATGAGTTTGAGGAAATAGAAGATGAAGAAGAGCAACAGCAGTCAGAGTTGAGGAAGTGAGTTGTTAGTTTAACTACTTCCACTAGGGAGTTGAGGATATCCAAGGTTGTTGAGAAACCTAAATTGTCTAGGGATCAGAGAGAGTATATAAGGTTTATGAATGTGAAGAGGAAGAAAGATTTTGTATGTTTCGAGAGAGTTAAGGGGAAGATGGTTAACATTCTCGAGGGTCTTGAACTTCACATGGGGATTTTTAGTGCTGCAGAGCAGAAGAGGATAGTCGACCATGTTTATAAGCTTGAGGAGATGGGGAGAAATGGAGAGTTGAAAGGTTAGTATTTACATTGTCAAACTTGTTGGTACACTCGAACTCTTCTTTTGTGATTGTAGTTATGCAATAAAAAATAAAAATCTCTGGTGCTCTTTTTCCTGTTTTGCAATACTGAACTTAGATTCAGTTATCTTTTTGAATTATTGGTTTCCGGGGATTTTCTTTTGATATCAAGCTAAGATGTGGTTGAGTAACTAACTTAACACTGTTCCTGATAATGGATTTTTGTGTTATCGTTCCATTTACACTTTTTTGTGTTGCTTCCTTGCTTTATACCTCTAATGGCATTAATAAATTGAATAGAGTAGAATATGCAAGCCTGTCTCTAGGTATTTTGAGTTCATAGCGGAAGCATTATGTGGTTTGTGTCTTCGGAAATAAGTTTTGTTGCTATCTGTTGTGCATGCAAGATATATCCGCATGCTGTTGTATTCTACAGTTTCACATATCATGTTTACATTATGCATCACACCAAGTAATTGAATTTGAAAATTTTCTGCAGAACGCACATTTACAGCACCCCAAAAGTGGATGAGAGGAAAAGGACGTATAACTATCCAATTTGGTTGCTGCTACAATTATGCAATGGTACGCTTTCCCATACTCTTGTTTTGTGTTGAAGATTAGTGATGTGGCTAGAGACACTGTAGTCACTGGAAGTAGTAGCTCGAGGCTGAAATTGCTTTATCATGTTTATCTTGTGGTGGCAGGACAAAAATGGTAACCCGCCTGGCATTCTTCAAAACGAAGTTGTAGATCCTATACCCAATCTCTTCAAGGTGATCATTAGAAGGCTGATCGGATGGCATGTGCTTCCTCCTACTTGTGTGCCTGACAGTTGTATTGTTAATATTTATGAAGGAGACTGCATTCCTCCGCACATTGACAACCATGATTTTGTTAGACCATTTTGTACTGTGTCGTTTCTTAGTGAGTGTGATATCGTTTTTGGGTCGAACCTGAAGGTTGTGGGGGCGGGTGAGTTTTCCGGTTCATTCGCGATTCCCTTACCTGTGGGGTAAGATTCTTTTCATGCGCTGACTGGTACTCTCTATCTGATCTTGTAATTATTTGAGTTAAAAGTTTAAATCAATTATTTCTTCTTTCAGATCAGTTCTGGTTATAAATGGGAACGGGGCAGACGTTGCTAAACACTGTGTGCCAGCAGTTCCAACAAATAGGTACAACGATAATTTTTCATGTTTTTATATATTTGCTTTATTGTTCATGTTGAACCTTTTCGTTGTGTTGCTTCTCTTAGGATATCAATCACATTCCGGCGAATGGATGAATCGAAGCGGCCAGTCGGATATACTCCAGAACCCGACTTGCAAAGGATTGAATCACTGTGTTACAATGAGGAGAAATCCAAGAGGTTAATCTCTTCGCATAAATCCGAACCATATGTAAGAAGGCAACCACTTCGAAGAGAGGGTGGAAAAGAGGGCAGGGGACCAACAACCAAGCGGGACGAGCGATGGGAGCCCCGATCCTCAATCCGGAAACAAAGAGGTCCCGGGAGTAGGAGAAGAATCGGCTAATGATGAACAATAGTGAGGTTTGTAGCTTTTGCCGTAAAAAATCATTGGGAACGAAGGCTTGAGCTTCCAGGCCACCAACACGTTCCATCCAAATCCATATGTATATTCACAGAGCACCATCCATCTTATGTAGCTAAGCCACCACAATCTGGACTTGGAAAACCACTAATATTATAAACATCAAAATTGAATGTTTTATGGAAAGTATTTGTTCATATAAAATTAATTAATTTACTCTCCGCCTTGTGTTAATGAGAAAATAGTCTCGAACTAATTGCTAGCGTAACAAATTTGGAGGAAATATTTTACACGTCCAAGAGGCTGAACCCTACTAACGAAACAAGGTGGGCCATGGGCTTTGGCTCACCTGGTTTCATGGGACAATACTGGTTTTGGTCCTTCCAATTAATAATGATTTAATTTAACTTGTTCTAACAATTTTTTTTTTTTTGGTATTTCAGTCATTCAACTTCAAATTCATATTTCGTCCTGATAAAGATGCCGAAATAGAGGGAAGATTGTCACGGCTCAACTAGGGGTGTAAATTAGTCAAGTTGAGCTCGACTCGACTTGAAAACTCTGAAATGTAGCTCGACTTGAACTCGAAATCTTGAACTGAAACTCGTGACCAGTTCAAAAAGGCTAAAACCGAAAAAAATTCTTAAACTTAACTCGATTGAAGCCTCAAACTCAAACCTAAATCTTAAAAACACGAAAATCTTTCAATATTTTTTTTAAAAAATTAGCACATAAATGTTAATATTATTAATAATTTATTTTTTTAAAAATAAAATATTAATATATTATATTTTTGAGCTGCTCACGATTTTTTTGAGTCTAGTATCAAGTAGTTTATTTCGGCTCGTTAATAACTCGAGTTAAGTCCATTCGATCCGAGTATTTATCGAGCCTTGATCGAGTCGATCTCGAGTAGCTCGCGATCTGTCTCGTCCCATTTAGAGCCCTAGGGTTAACCTAATTCAATTTATGGGATATGTAACATAAAAACACAAGTCAGAATCATTTTCTTCGAATCTCATAAATCTTACAAAGCTTTTTCTTATCTTCAATTTATGTGCTTTTATATATTCAATCTCATATCACATCACAATAACACACATGAGCATACTTTATGCATAACACACAAATATGTTTTTCCGAAGAGTACACTCAAATTTGTGTGACGTAATATGAGATTAAATATCTAAACTCATGCATGAGATGAACTCCCATTTATAATCCATATCAATGGGGACAGAGTTATGTTTCGTTTTTGGGTTACTATCCATCATTTTTTATTATTATATATGAATAATATTCACTTAGATATTTTTTAATTTCGATTTTTTTTCATTTTATTATTATTATTATTATTTATATTTTTTTATCCTTGTTAAACTGATATCTGGTATGTTCCGCATATCAAAATGGAGTTAGACCCAGAAAGATGGAAAAGAAATACATTTAGGAACCAACCTTCTTTTCGTGGGTTAATTTAAAGCAAGTTTATAATAATCCACATCCCTCACACCCACATGTTGTATCTATATCCATATAAATAACATACACAGTTCATTTGCCAAAGCCAGATGCAATGAACAAACAATTAAACAACAACCACCAACACTTTAAAAAAAAAAGGAAAACAATTTACCTAGACTTAGCTTCAAACAACCTGTTCACCGGTAATGTTAGGGGTTCAGTCAAAACACAACTAGTTAAAAACAAGATGTGGTCCTAACCAACTTAAACCCTAATTGGGTCCACACTAGAACCCTAGAACTGTAAACGTATTAAGACACTGTCTCTTATCAAAGCTTCAGTGTCCATCATCCATTCTTGGTAAGTTTTGTTGAAGCTGTAAGTGCATTTACGCTCAACTTTCATTGTTAAAATGATGAGAATGGTAAGAAAAGATTGTGGCTAGGGTTTGCCTTACACTATGCTCGTTGGCAGAGAAAGCTATAACGATTGACGAGAGAATAAAAATAGATAGAGAAAGATGAGATACGGATGATATTGTGATGTTATGTTTAGAGATACAGGGAAGAAGAAAATAACAGCAAATTTGATGATTACCCGTAAGAAAAGCACATGGTACCATAGCCGGCTGGCTAGGCCACACTTCTTACGAGGTAATCAACCTCATCAGCTACGGATTTTGGATAAGAGAAAAATAAACAAAATTTTCATTAAAAATTTGGGTTTCTTGTATTTAAAAAAGGGTTTTTTTTTTCAGTGGCAAATCATGGATTAAAAAAAAAAGGTTGATCAACACACAACTAGAATTTATATGCTGTAAGGAACAATATACCAACAACCCACGTGGAGGGAAAGAGTGTACGTGTGTTTGGGAAGAGCTAGAAAACCGATGCGTGATAAGGAGTGGAAATCTGGTCATGATGGCAATGTCAAAATCAACAAAATAACACAATCTGGAAAAGGTTTGAAAGAAAGAACAGAAATGAAAGAGAAAACATATAGAGGGTTGCAGCAGCGGTCAGAATTTGTAGAAAAAAGGAATAAAGACTGTTACATGTTGAATTCATGGACATCATAACATTTTCCATTAAGCAAATCCTCTAGAAAAATGACACTATTTTTCCCTACTCCATAACAAAACTAAAATGGATACCATCCGAGTTCTATTTCGTTACTACAAATTCTTCTTTCCTTTAACCATCCTCCAACTGGTATTCATATTTCTAATCATTCAGTAATAAACGATTTAATTCAATATAATTTTTCTTTGCTTCTTACATCATTAATTCACACAAGAAATTCAGAGATGGCTGCAAAGAAACAAAAAGGTGATTAAAAGATGATCTTATCTCTCTGCAGTCTTGAGACTGAAAAGACAAAATGGGGGCTGAAATGTTGGATAAATTAATATAAAGATTATTATTCCTTGATTTATCTCCCAAACAGCTTAGGAGCAAGGATGGTATGTCTTCAAAAGATAAAATCATGGAAATTGGTATGTTAGGTCTCAAATAATGTAATATCATGCAACAGGTCCAACAATTTGATGTATTAATAAGATCAAGAGTATTCCAAATGGAGTTTTTATGACCTCCTTAGGGTTTACTACTTTTTATATACCAACCATTCATCATGTGGATGCCATATTATAAATGATTTAGACATAATAAGACTATACTTTCCCCAATGCCCCAAAACCACAAGAAACTCAATTTATTTTGCATTTCTCTCAATTTCATGTGAATATTCTAATGTCATGTACATGTATTCATTTATTTCTTGTACCACAAGATTTAGAAAAATCAGTAGAGCAGAAACTGGGAAAAGGGAAACATGATCTGGTAGTTTAGTTTCATAAAAACTAGTCATCGAGGGCCAAAGCTACATCTAACTCTTTACACAGCACATGGAAGGTAGTCTCATATGATAAATTCAATTTCCAAGAACTGAACTTTTGCTAGACCTAGGTACATCCTATGTTCCTCTTAACAGCATATTTCATATAGCAAACCCAGCGGTCCCCCAAGTTGAGCTCTCCCTATTAAAAAGTACAACATTGAGAAGCAAAAAATCCCTGAAATTCTTAAAAAAAGGCATATCGGCAGGTTGATAGGGTAATCAAAGCACTGTAACGCATAGCCAGAAACACACACACACACACACTAATGGTGAAGATTGCGACATGATCATCAGTGAAGAAGAATGCTAAAGAAAAAAGGTACTGTAATAATATATCTTTAATTTAGTAATCTGGTTTCTGGGACTCATAAAATATCATGACCATTCATTCATTCTTTCGTTTGCCATACAAGTATGAATGATTTTTTCTTTCTTTTTGGTCATTCGTTCACAGTCATCTCATCAAAAAGGCTGGATTAATCATGATAATACCTCGTCATGCCTTTTCATCCAAGCAATTTCCACTGATATCCACCTTTCTCTATGCACTCTTTTGTCCCTTCCTGCTCTGTCAACTTCAGTCCTTCTCTCTCAGATATTTTTCTCTGATATCCTCTCTTCATCCCTCCATGTGCCCCTCTGTCCCCCCCCCCTTTTTCCCCTCCTTTTTTATATCTCCTCCGTTTCATGCAGTCTTCACTTAATAACTTAACATTTCCTTCTCTCTCTTTATAACCCTTTGTTTGTTCCTCTTTGTTTTCATCTTCCATCATGGAACCCCATCAACAGAAAAACCAGCAGGCTGCAAATGATATTCAAGATAGTAGTGGCGGTGGAAGTGGCAAAGGGAGCTTTCTTTGCAGGCAAAGCAGTACACGGTGGACTCCTACCACTGATCAGATTAGAATATTGAAGGACCTTTACTACAACAATGGAGTTCGGTCCCCGAATGCTGATCAGATTCAGAGGATCTCTGCTAGACTTAGACAGTACGGTAAAATCGAAGGCAAGAATGTCTTTTATTGGTTTCAGAACCACAAGGCTCGTGAGAGACAGAAGAAAAGGTTCAATACAACAACTGATCACCATCATCATGTCCCCATGCAAAGACCCACCAGCATCACACTCACGAATAACAAGTTCCCTACCAACATAAACCCTGGTTCTTCTCGCTTTCCCTTTCCTCTTTCTAACATAGACAGGAAACTAGTTTTATCATTCATTATTGTTATTTGCAGGTTATTCTCCTTCATCTCCTTCTTCAACTGGCGTGCTTACTGTTGGGCAAATAGGGAACTATGGATATGGGTCTATTACCATGGAAAAGAGTTTTAGGGTAAGTACTGTTAGTATAGTACGTTCTTGTCACTTCTAGTTTGAAGTACAGTTAAAATAGTAAGAGATTCATTTAACTAACTCAACATGCTAATGTTTTATCCCACGATCCCTTGAAACATCTATAAAAAGAAACAACCATTTCGTTTCCTTCTTGAAAAATGGCCAGACAGATTGGAAGTTTTTCTTCAACCCCCAATAATTCACCGGGAGAGGCTCCTTTGTACATATATAGTATATGGAGATTTCTCGCTTTTTTTCTTCTTCTTAACTCTAAGTTATCTTTGCCCAGAATTGCTCAATATCAGCATGTGGTAGCAGTACAGAAAGTGCAAGCGAATCCCTGAGCCACAACTTTGGATGGGTAGGGATCGATCCCGGTTATTCGCCGCCATACGCTTTCTTCGAGCCGAAAAGATTCATCGATGGAAACCACGAAGAGGGACAAGAAGACGAATATTATTACTATGAAGAAGAAGAAGAAGGTGCAGGTCCACAAATCGAAACCCTTCCTCTCTTCCCCATGCACGGAGAGGACATCAATGGCTTTTGCAGCAACATGAAACCCGAACCCGAAAGCCGCTACCCCGGGTGGTACAGGTCCGAAGATGGCTACACCGGCGGTCGAGCTTCACTTGAACTCAGCCTCAACTCGTACACCAGCAGATCACAAGATTCCATCTGATGGGAAGATAATTATTATGAGGATGTCTACTGTCTTCTCAATTAGCCTACTAATTAACTAATTATGCATTTAATGTAGTGTAAGTGTGTAACCTTTTTTCTCTATCTATTATGTGCTTTTCCCCCGTCTTTTTTCCAAGAATATTCCATGATAGTGATAACCCAAGATACAAAGAAGGATTATGAATATGATGATGCTAGTTTTAGGAGAGAGTTCATCCCCCCCCCCCCAAAAAAAAACACTTCTATGCAAATTGCAAGGAGATGGTTTTCTGTCACCTTTCACTGACTTAATGACAGTATTAATGATCTAGCCATTTTCTAGCAGAAGTGACTGGCAGGACTGAAGATGGTTTGAACAATCAATTCCAAAAATTACAAAATAAAAAAGGCAAAAGGAATTTGAATCTCTCTTCTTGAATAGCCAGTGGGCATTGCAAGGGGCTTTAAGTTTTCATGACCATAGGCTATTTAGGTGGGACCTTAAGGGGAAGGGTTGGTGACAGTGATGCAGTGATGGTGATGAGGCTAAGGCGCGAAGGAGTATGGACTCAGGATGAGTCTGCGTTACATATTGAGTTTTCTTCTTTTTTGTTTAAGAAAAAGAAAAACTGGAACAAGATTTGTCCATGGCCAAAAAACAAGATCGAAGAACAAACATACCGAGGCAAGGAAATGCGGGATGGATAGACGGTGAAAATTTTGAAATTATTATATATTTTAAATATTTTTTTATATTTTTATTGATAATATATTTTTATTCATGAAGTTTTATAAATTTGTCTATTTAATTTTTTTTATGAATTTGTCTCCTTTTTAAACATAAAATTTTATGTCTGTCTTTAGATATATACGAAGACTTAGGCGTGATTTTATGTTAAGAGAAACGAATTTATAATATTTTCAAAGACAAACTTACTTATAAAATTATAGAGGAAACGGAAATAGATTAATAAAAAATATAAAAAAAATATTTAAAATATATGATAATTTAAAATTTTCATAAAAAGAAGTATCTTGTTATTCTATTTATGTATTCATGTAACTAGTAAAAGGGAATATATATATATATTCCTCTTTATTCTAATTAAAATTATGAAAGTGATTAAGCTACTAAAATACATTATAAAGTAGAAAAATCAAATTCCAATATTTGGTATAATAGGTGGACTAAAATCATAATTAAACCTGAAGAACATATATCACTTGAGGTTTGAAAGAAAAGCAAATTAATTACTCCACCTCCAAGGCTCCACCCATATCCGGGCATGGCAATAGCAAGTGTTAGTGATGTTAAGAAATCAAACGTGGTGATGCAATCAATAGATATAGAGCTTGTCAAATACGTAAATATATTTACTGTTGCATCCCCCACGATATAAAAAAATTGCAGAAAGGGTCCTACCGCTTGATTTGGGTTTGACATATTTTCAGAGTGGAGGAGGGGGTGATGGAGTGCAATTGCATTTGGAGTGGGGACTGAAATGAGGGAACTAGAAACAATGCCTTCCGATCCTGGTTGATAGATACATGGAGATTTAGTTGTGGATCCAAGAAGATCTCCAAAAGCTTTTTGAGTCCCCAAGTACGTAATGTCCCATTAGCAGTAAAACTGAGTCACGAGTTGCATCACCCGGGCCTCTTTTTGTATAACACTCTGCCTGTGCCCTCCGCTTTCTGGTTTGCTTTCCCACCCATTTTCTCTCCCCTAACCTTCTCCAATGGGCTCTTGTATTTATTAACGCATCTCTTTCTGTCAACTCCTTGTGCGGTTAGGTCATTTGTCAAATGTGATGAAATCATAAGCGTGGATGAATTAATAGACCAATACGAAATCATCAAATAATAGACACACTTAGGTAATTTTGACCCAATACGATAGGTTGGCTAATTATTTAGCCCGATAAGACATCAGATTTTTCATTTTGGGAACTACAACATTTTCTGAAGTATCTTGGAACTCGTCACGTCAGAGTGACGAATTCCAATAAAATATATTTTTTATTGGAATTTTTGATTCCAACATGACAAAATTTAAATTAGAACTTGTCACTTCACGGAATGAGTTTGAATAAAAAAATATTATTTGAACGAACTCGTCAATATTTACCGTAGATCTCATTAATAAACGCTCTTTTGTATGGGCTGAACTTTCCATGGATTGTCCTCCTCTGTCTCATTAATCTAAATTTAATATAGGCCGTTTGAATAATATAGTGTACAATAATTTAATACCTAACTAATTACATGTGACGTTATGATTATAATGAATTTTAATTTTTTTTATATATATGTTTTTTTATAATGATATAATTATATCTTAATTCTTTATATCATGTTTGATATAAAATATAATGACATAATTATATGGATTTAAATTTTAAAATAATATTAATTACAAAATTGAAGAGTATAATACACATAATTAAACTGATTCTCATTCCTAAAAATTAGAAATTATAATTTCCCAAATTTCACTCAATCTAACCATACCCAAAAATTAAAATGATTGGTTAAACATGTCACAATCATAATCATCGATGTTACCATTATCATCAGCTTATGCCTTCTCTTTGCATGCACTGCTTTTGTCTTGATCGGTCATCTCAAAATACAATGAATGCTCAGCAAGTCAAGCAGCAAAGACCTAGTTATCACGCTTGTCTGAGATTCAAAACTCACTTCCTGTAATTAAAAAAGGAATTCATCATTTCAGTCATATTAAGTTCCAAGAAAGTAAATACCGACCTCAGAACTCTTCATCCGTTCTTCGACAACAGGTTGAGCTATCACTATTGAACCCAATCCAATATCCTCATAAAGATTTGAGAGCTGTGGTGTATTTGCAGGAGTAGGAGCCGAAATCCCCATCGGGGAATTAAAACATCCTTGCAGTCGAATAAAAGGACGGCTCTCCATCAAAGGTTTTGAAAGCTCAGCTTCTTCTTCAACCTTCTGCAAGAGAGTCTTGACTTGACCTCTCAACAAAGCCTCACCAGATCCAGGAGTCATCAGCACGTTCCTCACTCTACTACTCCGCTGCTTACCTACAGCAGAAGACGGTGTTGAAAATCCACCGAAAGGTGGAATTAATCCACCGAATTTTTTTTCAAAAATATTGGCTAATTGTTGAAAATTAACAATGGTATAATTGTATATTTTAGTCATTGTAATTTAGGTTATTTATAAATTAGTACTTAAGCTTCAACTATAAATATCCTAGCTTATTTAGCTTCAAAATCATCCCAAAACATTCTAGCTTTCTTCCAATACTAGAGAATTTAGAGAGTTTCTTGAGAGTTGTTTTCTCATTTTAATCAAGAGAGAATTATCATTGTTTTCTCCTTGGTAGATCGAGAGAAGTTGTAATTCTTATTTTCTCATAGTGAAATTCTTCTACCGTTGCCCGTGATTTTTACCCTATATTATTTAAGGGTTTTCCACGTAAATTTTGTGTCTCTTTTATCTTCATTTTTATTTTCTCAAATTATCAGTTGCGTTTTTGCTCTATCCGATAGCCGTCTTTTGCAACAATTGGCATCAGAGCCAGATTTGAGTGTGTAATATCTGCTTATTGTCTTTGTGGTTGCCACCAAAAGGTGGATCCTCCAATATAAGAAAGTAAGAAGGTATTACCCATTCTTTGAAGGTTCCAGAGACTATTCACGATAGTGAAATAGTGGGAGCTATCCGTAATAGAAGTTATGGCAACGAAATTTGATATTGAAAAATTCAATGAGAGAAATTTCTCATTGTGGAAATTGAAGATGAAGGTCATCCTGAGGAAAGACGGTTGTCTAGCAGCTATCAGTGAAATACCGGTAGATTTCACATATAACAACAAATGGATCGAAATGGACGGGAATGCTATGTCAAACTTTCATCTAGCATTAGCAGATGAAGTATTGTCAAGCATCGAGGAGAAGAATACAGTTAAGAAGATATGTGATCATCTCATCAAATTGTACGAGGCCACATCGTTGCACAATAAAATTTTCCTTAAGAGGAAATTATACACTCTCCGGATACCAGAATCTACTTCAATGACGGAACACTTAAATACGCTGAACACTTTATTTTCTCAGCTTACATCCCTAAGATGTACAATAGGAGAACAATAACGTGTTGAACTTTTACTTCAAAGTCTACCTGATTCGTATGATCAACTCATCATCAACTTGACAAATTGTAATGTCACCAGTCTAGTCTTCGATAACGTTGCAGCTGCTGTTCTACAAGAAGAAAATCGGTGCAAGAACAAGGAATACAGACAAGTAAATCTGTAACAAGCAGAAGCGTTGACAACGATGAGAGGGAGATCAACGGAACGTGGCCAAAGCAACAATCACAAACATGGTAGATCAAAGTCGAGAAGCAAGAAGAATTTAAAGTGCTACAACTATGGAAAGAATGGTCACTTGAAGAATGATTGTTGGAGTCTAAATAAAAACTCTAATCCATAAGGTAATACCGCAAACACTTCAGATGATGGAGATGTTTTATGCTGTGAAGCGTCAACCACCGTGGAAGGTAGAAAGAGATATGCAGATATATGGCTCATTGATTCGGGAGCAACATATCACATAACCTCAAGAAGAGAATGGTTCCATCATTATGAACATGTCTCAAGAGGATCTGTGTATAGTTGCAATGATCATGCCTTAGAGATCGTTGGCGTGAGAACCATCAAATTGAAGATGTATGATGGAACAATTAAAGTTGTTCGAGATGTGGGCACGTGAGAGGCCTGAAGAAAAATTTATTATCCTACGGATTGTTGGATAATAATGCAAGCAAGATTGAAACACGAAAAGGAATCATGAAGGTGTTCCGTGGAGCGCTTGTGGTGCTGAAAGGCGAAAAGATAGTTGCAAACTTGTACATGCTGAATGGAGAGACTTTGCTAGAAGCAGAAGCCTCTGTTGCCTCATGTAGTTCAAATTCTGCAATGCTATGGAATCAGAAACTTGGACACGTGTCAGAACAAGGAATGAAAGTCCTTGTGGAGCAAAAGCTACTTCCAAGCTTAACAAATGTATCACTTACTTTGTTTGAGCATTGCATAACAAGTAAGCAACACCAGTTGAAATTCAATACGTCAAATTCTAGAGGAAAAAGTGTTCTAGAATTGATTCACTCTGACGTATGACAAGCACCAGTTACATCCCTAGGTGGAACAAAATACTTTGTGTCTCATTTATTTTTGACTACTCCAGGAGATGTCGGGTGTACCCTATTAAGAAGAAGTCAGATGTGTTTTCAACTTTCAAAAACTTCAAAGCGCAGGTGGAACTTAATTATGGAAATAAGATCAAGTATTTCAGAACAGATAATGGAGGAGAATACACAAGCGAAGAATTTGATGACTTTTGCATGAAAGAATGCATCAAAAGATAATTCACAGTGGCAAACACTCCTCAACAAAATGGAGTGACAGAGCGGATGAACAAAACCTTGTTAGAAAAAACAAGAGCAATGTTGAGGGGTGCAAGCCTAGAAAAATCATAATGGGCAGAAACAGTCAATACCGCCTGTTATTTGGTGAATCGAGCTCTATCAACTGCAATAGAGCTGAAGACACCAATGGAGATGTGGACTGGTAAACCAGCTGATTATTCAAACCTCCATGTATTTGGAAGTATTGTGTACGTGATGTACAACTCCCAAGAAATTTTAAAGCTAGATCCAAAATCCAGGAAATACAAATTCTTGGGGTATACTGATGGTGTAAAGGGGTATCGCTTGTGGGATCTCACTACCCACAAAATGATCATTAGCAGGGATGTTATCTTTGTAGATGATAAGCTACAAAGAAAATAAGAAAATGGTAGCGCTGAAAAGTCAGAGACTACACAAATACATGTGGAAAAGGAGTTTAAACAAGGAGATTCTTCTGAAGTAGAACCAGCACATGATGAACAAGAACTAGAGAGTTTTGAAACTCCAACAACTCGTCAACCAGATCGTGTAAGAAGACGTCCCAATTGGCACTCAGATTATGTTATAGAAGATAATATTGCATACTGCCTTTTAACAGATGATGGTGAGCCATCAACATACCAAGAGGCAATAAATAGCTCAGATGCTTCACTGTGGATGATGACAATGCAAGAAGAAATTGAAGCCCTTCATAAAAATAATACATGAGACCTTGTACCACTACCACAAGGAATGAAGCCAATTGGTAACAAATGGGTCTTCAAAAATCAAGTGAAATGGTGACGATCAAGTTGAAAGGTATCGTGCAAGACTGGTGGTCAAAGGATATGCTCAAAAAGAAGCTAGATGTTAAAACAACTTTTCTTCATGGAAATCTTAAAGAAGAGATTTACATGCTCCAGCCTGAAGGTTTTGAAGAAGACGAAAAGAAGAACTTGGTTTGTAGGTTGAATAAATCTCTGTACGGTCTAAAGCAGGCGCCGAGGTGTTGGTATGAGAGATTTGATTCCTTTATTATGTTCATTGGATACAACATACTTAATTCAGACCCTTGTGCTTATTTCAAGAGGTCTGGTGATAACGATTTTGTTATATTGCTGTTGTATGTGGATGACATGTTGGTTGCAGGACCCAACAAAGATCATATTGAAGAATTAAAGGCACAACTGGCTAGGGAATTTGAAATGAAGGACTTATGATCAGCAAACAAGATTCTAGGGATGCAAATTCACCGAGACATAAGTAATAAGAAGATTTGGCTTTCACAAAAGAATTACTTGAAGAAGATCTTGTCACGATTCAGCATGCAAGATTGTAAGCCAATTTCTACCATTCTTCCTATTAACTTCAAATTATCCCCCAGTATGAGTCCTAGTAATGAAGAAGAGAGCATAGAGATGTCTCGAGTACCGTATGCATCAGTAGTGGGAAGTTTAATGTTCGCTATGATATGCACAAGACCAGACATTGCGCAAGCAGTGGGAGTGGTTAGTCGGTACATGACGAATCCAGGCAAAGAGCATTGGAATACAATAAATAGGATCATGAGATACATCAAAGGGACCTCAAATATTGCATTATGTTACGGATGATCAAACTTACTAATCAATGGGTATGTAGATTCTGACTATGCAGGGGATTTGGATAAAAGCAAATCTACTACAGGATATGTGTTCAAAATTACTGGTGGAGCTGTAAGTTGGGTTTCAAAATTGCAGTCAGTTATGGCTATATCCAAAACAGAGGCAGAATATGTAGCAGCTACACAAGCTAGTAAAGAAGCAATTTGGTTGAAGATGTTATTGGAGGAGCTTGGGCACAATCAAGAGTATGTCTCTCTATTTTGTGACAGTCAAAGCGCTTTGCATTTAGCATTGAATCCAGCATTTCATTCAAGGACAAAATACATACGAGTTCAGTGCCATTTCATTCGTAAAAAGGTGGAAGAATGGACGATAGATATACAGAAGATTCATACCAAAGACAACATAGCAAATTTCATGACGAAAGCGATCAATGCCGATAAATTTATTTGGTATCGATCCTCTTGTGTCCTATTAGAGACGTAAGCAACATGAAGGTACAATGTAGAAAGAATGGTGTGAAGATATGATTGTTCCAATCAAATTTTCAAGTGGGAGATTGTTGAAAATCCACCGAAAGGTGGAATTAATCCATCGAAAAAAATATCAAAAATGGTTGGCTAATTGTTGAAAATTAGCAATGGTATAATTGTATATTTTAGTCATTGTAATTTAGGGTATTTACAAATTAGTCATTAAGCTTCAACTATAAATACTCTAGCTCATTTAGCTTCAAAATCATCCCAAAACATTCTAGCTTTCTTCCAATACTAGAGAATTTAGAGAGTTTCTTGAGAGTTGGTTTCTCATTTTTATCAAGAGAGAATTATCATTGCTTTCTCCTTGGTAGATCGAGAGAAGTTGTAATTCCTATTTTCTCATAGTGAAATTCTTCTACCGTTGCCCGTGGTAATAGGCGAGTCATTCGTTGTATCGATAAGAGCACCCCTTTCGCTTTGCCGTTTACCATTTTTTTCGACACACTCTTCACGTACTCTTCCTTGTTTCCTTCTACTAAACCAAAACATCAAGAAAACAAGGATTATTAATCAAAAGAACAAAACCTAG